ACCCCCGGTTTTCCCCCCCCCCCCCCCATCATAATGTCATCTCACATTTCCCTGAAGGAATGAACGAATACAAAGTGAGTGACAGATCACCCTTTCCTCTTTGAACAGACCCAGGACAGCAAGTTCCTGCATCATTATCCAAACTACCCACAAGAGACAGGCTTATGGCCAAACCGTGGATGTCAATAACCCTGTACTTCCACACTATGATAGGAAAAAAGTGCCAAGTCTGAGCCGGAATACTGTGTTATCCCTTTTTGCCTTTGTTTCTCTCTCCATCTCTGTTATGGAGTTCACATCCCTTCCCCAGAAACTGAAACTGTAAATCAGTGATTCCAATTACCTCCTTTAAGGAATTACACCAAGTTTTTAAGCTGTGAAATTGCAGAATTAAAAAATAAGTCTGCTCCTTCATCACATAAGAAAACTTTGTCAAAGTTTCCATGAGGCACCAGTCTTTTTTTAATTCTATTGCTGCTGGTATATTTCGTAGTTCTAGCAACATTTAGGAGCTTGCATATAAATAATCACTCATTGTTCGTACTTTGTTTCAGCCTCTAGCAAGTACAACATAGCTGTAGTAACTTAGCCTCATCGACTGACAACAAAGGATTTCAGTTATAGTTACACAGTAACACAAATCAGAAGTTTATTTCAGTTATAAAATACATTAAGTTAAAAAAAGGATTACAGATGGTGTTAATTGATGACAAAGTTCATCATGGTTTTTTTCTAGGTTACAAATTTCAGTTCTCACCTGCTATTACTGTGTTCACACATTCATATAAGAGAGACATGGCTGAGGTGCTGAAACAGAAATCAAGTATTTTAAATAAGGAATAAAACCGCCACATTTTGAAGAATTGTCAGCAGTACCTTGGAGCCAGTTAACACCTTTAATTACACAAGAAATTGCCAGTATTCTGTTCCATATGCCTTCAAACTAGATGAAAAGATTCTCACTTAAAAACTGTTGGGGGGAGGAAGGGCAACTGCATGTTTTAAAAAAAAATAATCTTCTCCGAGAAGCAGCAAGTAACAGCACTGTAACACAAGGAATGAGGAAGGAAGCGGTTACTCAAAACCTCAGTACCAGTTACAGAGCACTGAAGCAATCTTGTCCAAGGATCAAATCAAATCCTCTGTGAAGGTCAAAAATTCACGCTAAGGCAGGCAGATGGAGAACCTCAAGTCTCTCTCTCCAAAGCAAACGAGTCATGCACAAACAGCAGACTCTTGACATGCTCATCCCTATAAGTGAGCAACCCATTTTCAATGTCTGATTTCCCCCAAAACTTAAATTCAAGACAACTTTTGCCAGTTGAACACACACACAGTGCAATTCTGAGGATTTCAAAGGTACTTACAAATCCTGATCTACACAAGAGGGAAACACACAAGAGGGAAACACAGTGAACCTCACGAGTAACTAAGGAGCAGACTCCAGAAGCAAGGTCTGCAAAGGTAATAAGCAAACAACTCTGGAGGCAGCAGTCAGAAGCGATACCGTGAAGGTCACTCAGCACACCATACACCTGACTCTAGTATGCTCAGAACCAAGGCAGTCATTTCTGCTCCCTATGCACTTCATGGTGGATGGCAGGGTAGTTTGCCTTATGTGTAAGTGATACGAGATCCAAAATGACTGAATGGAGACCAAACCGAACAGGATTAAGTGCTCACAAATAATAAAATGAATGACTAATATGGGAGTTGGGGAGAGGAGGTAGAGGCAGGATTGAAGACATATTATCCATCTTCCTGCTTTTTCTGGCAAAGTACTGTTTCTGGTGAATTTGTATCTATTTGTCACTGCTGCAAAAAATCCTTTTTAGGTATTTGGATGCAAAGCTGCTGGCTGGTCTGCTCTGAACCAGCCTTAAAGGCACACTAGGAGGACAGACAGAAATTGTTTGCCTAGAACTGCTCTCATGGCTACACGGATATCCATTTAAAATTTGCTCATTCCCATCTATCTTCTTGCTCTGCCACATGAAGAGAAACAAACCTTTTAATTTAACAACTCATGCATAAGATCACACTTCCTTTTCATAACCGGGAAAATACATGTACTCCCTCCAAGACATCTACTTTCTGATTTCAGTTCAGAATTAGATCCAAGACAACACTACAAACCAGCTTTAACAAGGGACAAGGAAATATCTCCAAATTTATCTAATCTGTATTTAGGATGTATATTAAAGGAAGCTCTTCCAAAACACATCTGGGCTGACAAAGGCATGAGAAAGAACTTTAATAGGCTGCTTGTCATGCTGCTTTGGTGGGTAAGGCACTAATAAAAAAGTCAAGAACCAAACGTGTGCAGGTGAACAGAAGAGGCAAATATACAGCTGAGCCTTTTTTAAGCCGGAGTTTTTATATCCTCCATAGTAATCTCTGGCTTAAAACATAGTGAAAGGAAAGCAAATTGCTCCAATTTTCATGCATGCTTTGGAGAAATTCATGCTGACAGTCAGACACACAAAGACTTTCCTTTAAGGTATTTTATCTCTCTTAGGTTTTCCAGAAATAGTCCTGATATGATTGCCTTTTGATATTTGAAGCCAATCTATCGAGACTCAAGAGAAAGTTCAGAAACGCATCCGCAGACCTAGCTACTGACCTACCTAACAGGCACTTCACCAATCCTGAATGAACAAAGTAACATTTGTCACACATACCTATGGATGAGGTTGGTCAGAGGCTCAATCAGTTTCTTTCCCAGCCTAGGTTCTAACGGAGTAAGAGCACCAAACTATTAAAAAAGAAGTGCAGACAAGAAAGTGATTTAATAGCTGCTTTTAAACAGTATAAAAACATAATTTAAATTGCAGCTCATTATATTTAAACCAAGCTATATTAAAATATTTTTCTCTCTTTGGTTTTGTCCACAAACACTAGAAGATATTCCTGGTTTCTTTTTATTCGGATTTAATGGTAACTATACCTCCAAGCAAGAAATCTATTTTCGCACCCAAGGTAATTTAATGAGAACCCCAATCCTGTAAAGATAGAGCCAGAATACTTGCCAGTTTTATAATTTTAATGAGAACCCAATTATTGGTTGACGACGTCATCAACTTGAAAAAGAGCGGAGCAAGGGAAAGGTAGTTTTTGGGATTGCGTCGAGCCAGCTCACAAATAACATTTACTGCAGCAGACTGCACACCTGGGAGAAAGAAGTGGGAAAAGCAGAAATCTCATCAATGCCTTAATTGTAATTGAAGTTTCTGGTGCAGAACCCCCAGAACAAAAGCAGCTAAAGAGTCAGACTTGCGTGTCCAAGAGGAATGGTTCAGCCTCATTACCAACCATGAGGTAGCGAACTAAACACAAGAACGCAAAAACAAACTGAGAAAGGATTTTTTCATTTTGGCTATTTTGTAATATATCAGTAAGCTGGGTATCTGCTTTGGGCCCAGTATTAGCAAGAACAGGACACTGCCAGCCTCCTTCCCCCTTGACTGCAGATAGCTTGTTTGTGGGACACAGGCAACATAATAATCAATAATCCTACCCACCATAAAGTTTCCAAATGCTCTTGCTTCTTTAAAATGTATTATTTAGACATGTTTAAATACAACACAAAAATAATGAATCCTTAAACAATCTGACTGGACAAGTTCATTCCCTTCTAATTGCTCAGCCTCTAAATTGATTGTTGTCAGTTTGGAATCTTTTAATCTAGATAGTCTGGGTTTTCTAGTAGAGAGCAGTCCTTTTCGCCATAAAGCATAATCGGTACTTTCTTCCCCTGTTTGCAGGCGAGGAGTGTGTGTCTTTTGCTTTCTTTAAAAACATTGTCCCTGGAAGATGCATCTTACATGCCCACACCACATTAGTCCAGTACATGCAATCAAGTTTCTCCCTCTGAACTGGAGATCGCAGAACTGCATCGTACACGGAATTCTTGAAACAAGTGTATGGGGTTTTGGTGCAGTGAGGGAAGACTGAGTAGAAGTGTGACTATGATACAGAGCAATTGCAAATTTCCTGTGCTGCAGGTGAATTGCACTGACACAGTACTGAAGGGCCCAAACAGCAGTCTGGACTCAAAGTTTAAATTTAAAAAAATAGAGGAAAAAAAAATACTAAGTGATGTGAAACTATTTTAAGTACATCCACTGCAAGCCAATAGCTGCAGCTCTGTGAAAGAGCACAGGAAACAACAACAAAAACCCAAACCCTGAAATCAACTGAAATATTTTCAATAGCCAAGTTAAGTAAGCAACAAACCAGGACTCATTAAGTAGCTTTGTCCCATTAAGGTTTAATCCACTCATACAGTTTCAATAGCTTTGGGTTTGAAGTAAGAATTGGACATTTTAAAGAATGTATTTTTAATATGGCAACATCTGTCGAAACTCTCATATGCTCATCTAACTATTAAACAGGCAAATCAGTACCCAAAAGAAAATTACAGCATTTTTCATGTATTCTTCTCTCCACAAGCTCTAAAAGCATGTATACCTAGCTGTTCTGGAGCAGAAGTAATTTACTAAAATCCACTCACCAGGATCTGGATCTTCAAGTTTCTCTTTAAGGCGAGGAAACGCGGGACGGAGGGACTCTGGGTATTTCAAAAAAACTTTGTACATGATTAACACTGCCTTCTTCCTGATGTAAGGCTTTGTATGAGACATCTGTTAATGAAACAATTGCAATCAGGCTCTCAGCAAATTTGTGTTTCCAGATTCTTCTCAAGGTCCTTATGTCCAAAATTTCTTTCTGGGAGACTCAACTGTTTTTCAAAAACTCAGCTTTGAGGGGAGAGCAAAATACTGTCATTTATCACCAAAACTAACAGAACTATTCACGGTAATCCTCTTGAGCTAACTAAGGTCTGTAAAGGCTCCCCAAAACCCCCACAAGAACAAAGCATCAGTTTTCACATGTAACAGTTCTAAATTTAACAGATATTTACCAGATTTGAACAATTTAACATTCTTTAATTACAGGAAAAAGTTATTTCAATCTTATCAACTCACCAGTGTCATGATGTCATTTGCCAAGTCCCTGGCAAGATCTGGAGTAACAAAACAGGACAAGCCAGTCAGTGCAACTCCAGTATCATACTGGTTAGGGCTACTCAGATCCTAAAAAAGGAAAAACAGGCTCAAAAATTTAAGATCACACAGGATGTTGAGAAACAGCTTTCTCAGACCAATTTTATTCACTCCACACATATGAAGCAGAGCTCCTACTTCACGCGAATATTTGTATCAACTATTAACAGAAGTGTCCTCCATCACCTGCTAAAATACAGCTAGCCTGGGGTTTAATAATGGGCATGAGGAATCATAATTAAACAATAGATGGATGACTGCAACACAAAAGCAATTAGAGATATCATACCTTGGTGGTATTTTAGGAATGGCAAATAACTTTTAAAAACTCATGACATGATCACAAACATATTTAAAGTCCTAAAAAACTGGTATTAAATACTAACCCTGCTAAATGAAAGCCCAACTGTCATCAACTTCACTGGGAACAGGCGCTCTTGTCGAGTGCTTAACAGTGTCCTAGCTTAATCTATTAGAGAATGAGATTACTTTCCTTCCAAGCTGCTTGCAGCACCATAACTTTCAGTCCATAAAGATGTAACACAAGCTAGGGTGTAGAATAAATCTTATTGGTCAAGTTTCCTTGGACTTATTTGTAGTCAGTATCCTACATAGTCTTTCAGGTATTTCTAAGCTTCAGACTCTTAACAACATTAATATTCATATCTGAGTATGTTCAAGTATAGATTATAAAACCAGACCTCATTGAACACAGAGCATCACAGGACCACTCCTTAACTGCAGTTATTAGGAAACAAAAATACGAAGTGAACTGCACAGAGCATTCCCACATGAACTACCGGAATTAACTGTCCAGATTCACGAGTACACGGAGGCTGCTTTAGGAGAGCTAAACATAGCCAGGCCTTCAGGGTTCTGTGCCATTTGCATCTCATTTTAAAACCTTTTGCAGGTGGTAGGAAATTGGATTCTACTTCAAGAATAACAAAATCTACTTCTTAAGGAGCAACAAAACTTTGCAATTTATTCTGGCTTTAATGTATTTTGAGAACTGATAACCCCTTAAAATACAAAGTTGCTAGATCAATGAAACATGAAAAAGCATCTTTATTTATGCCTTTAAGTAAAAACTCAGCACAAAAAGGAAGGAATAGCCTAGTAAGTGACTGAAATTCAGTATAATAAAATCTCCATAATAAAGAAAATGGATGGACATGATTAAAAATATGTACTTGTCAGAGCAGAACAGTTTAAAAGATAAAGGGAAAAGCACTAGTTCTTTAGGAAAGATACTGGATAACATCCCACTGATCTTTTTTAAGCAAGTAAAAGACATTTTAGCTACTTAGATGGTAAAAATGTAGGCACATCTTGTACTGGATCAGTCAAGTTTTAAAGCAGTGATACTTTAAAAAATTAAACTTAAGAGCTTTAAAAATATATCTGTAATCTGAAGAATAGGAAAATAATCCTGCAACCCAATAACTCTGAAAAAATTCGAGTGCTAAAGCTCTATGAAAATGAATACAACACACTTCAGTACATTAATACAGAACACAACTTTACATATACTCTTCACCATTTTTACACACAATTATACCAAACAAGTCAAAAGCCTGATCTGTTATTGGCAGAAGAAAACGGGCCCTCACAAACAGGAATTTTGTGGAGCCAGGTGACTGCTCATTTTACTTCAGCAATGGGGACATTTTTCTTACCCATTACATTCTTATAAAGGCTGCCAAAGAGACTACTAATATTAACAAAGGTTATTGTTGTCACCATTCACTGTGATAAATAAACACAGAGAGCTGGTATGAGACAGCACGAGGGAAGCCTATGGACAGCTCCTGAGTACTTCATTCAGCTTGTGGAATGAGAGTAGACTGTAAACCAAGTAATTAGAATTCTACTTAAACACCTTTAGATTCCTAAAAGAGATATACTTCATACAGATTTGAAAATACAAGTAGGGAGACAGTGCAAGAAAAAATTAAGAACTGAAGTCAAAAGTTTACCTTTCGGATCTGATTAGTAGTCAACATAATTACATCAGTCCCTTCATGAAAGCACTGAGAGGCAGCTAGGTAACCAATTCTCTGTAAAAAGGCACGGAGAAAAAAAAAAGACATTAAAAGTAAGTTTAGACAACGTGTAGATGAAAAACAACTGGTAGCTTCATGAGCAATATTAAAGAGATGAACAATTAGACAGTAGGTTTGCATAACAGAAAAGACACAACAGGGTTCTCTATTTGTTCCTGATATAAACCCCCTTTTCTAATCTCAGACAAGTAACATCTCCAGGGATAATACATCTATCTTAAGGATATTAAACTAGCTTCACCTCCTCTACTTTGTTGGAACATACAGGTTCGATGACCACGAAGATGTAGAAATAAAGTAGGATTGTCAGTAGGAGAAATGGAGAATATTACATATATTTTGTCTGTGTTGCATTTAGTACAAAGCAAGAACAACACCCCTTGACTCCTGACTTTCAGGTATTAAAGCCCAATTTGGAAACTATTCCTTACGAGGTAACATTCTGCCTCATTTGGTGAAAAAGGTCTGCAACACAGAGCATGAAAAAGACCTTTCAAGAAAAATTATAAAGCTAAATATGGCTGCTACTAGGAATCTTAGGTGGTCTTCACAAAAAAATACCCTGTTTTTTCACAAAAGATATTTGACAGCTATTGTCAAACATCTGGTAGAAAAAGCCTATACTAGCAGGTCAAGTATTATCCACATACTAGAAACAAATACAGTCTACTTCCTTTCCGTATTGAAGAAAGAAAACCAAAAGATGGTGTACCAATGCATTCATTAAATACAGTAATGAAACAGCTTGGCTAGTACAGCTGTAGTTACAGAGAACTCACTTTGAATGTAAACTTCGATGCACTCATGACTTCAATAATATTGAAAGCAGCCCAACTGATGTCATAGCCCAGCATCTGTAACTGTGAGCAGAGAAGCCAAGATAACAAACTTCTGAAATAAGAGACTCAAGAAAATAGGTAAAGATACCTCAGAAAATTGAAGATGGAACAAGAGTCCAAAAATAATACTATAAGGCATCTCAAGTTCATGAGTAATGTTACATTCTATGCCACTCGCAGGAAGTGAAAGAAGTCTCAAAGTTCCACCAGAAGCAAGTTTTAAATAGTTTGCATTAATTCCAGGTACTACATATGCAGTTATATAAGCATCATTGTGAAGGGTTTTTTCCCTGGATTTTTTTTTTTTAAATAAAAACCAGAACTGAACCACAAAAATAATTCTTTAACAGTATTTCCCTCCCCTTCTTGACAAAGGACTGCGCAAAGAGAAACAAACACCAGTTTCAAGTGCTCATGCACCTGTGTGATAAAAAACAATCCAGTTGAAAACAACTTTTTAAGTTGGATTAGTTTTAAATTGGATTAGCTTCCTGACCTGTCTCAAGAAAATAAAATTGTACCAATAGTAGTGCCAGCGCAATGAACAGAATGGGAATATGCAGCCTCTGACGTCAGACGCATGTGGGAGCATTTTCACCTGCAGCCTGCACTTACAACAGTCTAAGAAACCGCAGTCTAAGAAAAGCAGGCATTCAGACCGAAGACTAGCTCCTAGTCAGCAAGAAAGAAAAAAAACAAAGATGCGATTACATCGTAACCCAGCAAGGCACTTACATATGTAAGTTTGCAGACTGCATTTGCTTTCACTGCAATGTTATCCTGCTTCAGCTCCTGCTTGATCTCATCAATGCACTGGGAGATGTATTTTGCCTGAGGAAAACAAACAAAAATTTGTGCTCATTTACCAGTTTTGTAGATTTCCAGCATGTTAGGGGGGAGAAGCAGCAGAACTCATCATTTGCAAGCACCAAGTCACACACAGGCTATTTAGGTAAGCACTTAATTCTGACGAAACTACTCATTAACAAGAAATGTCACAGCTCTATTACAAAACCAAAAGTACACCAAGATGTTTCTTCAGTGGTTTCCCTTCTCCCCCGTCTCCCTCGCAATTACACTGTTCAGTCCAGAGCTCTAGTTTCAAAGATTTGTGAAAAAAAGGTGTTCAATGGAGATTGTGTACCTAGGGGTCTGAACAAAACCTGAGTTCCACCATTCCTAGAACACACACTAGTCACTCACCTCAAGGGGAAGTCAGAGATCACCCATTCACTACCTGTCTAGAAAAAAACTATGTCAAACGCTATTAATAGCTCACAAATTTAAGGTGGCTGACAAAAATACTATGAGCTACTCTTCTTTTGGGCACACTGTATACAGATGGCCCTGCAGATGTGCACCCACAACAGTCCTCACGCCTGAAGGGACACAGCACGAGTCTCATACGGGGTACAGGTACTTCTCGCTGTAACCCTTGCCATCCACCCCAACCACGGCGAGGACACCCCCCTCCCTGGTTCACGACTTAGATGAGCAATTTTGCCATCTACACATTTTGAGAAGCAACAGTTATTTGTATGAATTTCTCAGTAATTCAGAGAGCCAAATGTCACAATGTTTACATTTAAATATGGGTCCTTCATTTCTTTCCAAACAATCACGTCTGTGCTTGTGGGAGGGATGTGGCAAATGCATGATTTAAAGATATCTGTACAGATTTTCCTTTAGAAGTAGGCTTAGCTCAGTCAGAGATTCTTTCAGTTCACAATTAATTATGATTTAAGTACTGAAGGTATCTGCTACAGAAATAATGAAAATTTAAAAGCAGAGAAGTAATCTCTCTTTAGAAAGCCACACATGCACCAGGGCATTTCACATTCAATATAAATAAATCAACTGCCAGGGGAACCAGGTCAGAAACAGATTACCTAGTTCCAAAATAAAATCCTGCCCGAATACCACTACCTTCCCCCCAAAAGATATTTTCAACATAGAAATCTACTGGCCTGCCTCTAATTCACATTTCTCCCCTTTACACTAAATTGTGTATTATCCCAACAATTCATTGGTCTTTTACAATGTCCTAGAGTGATACTCATGCATCAGGTCATAAAAGTTTGCTGCTAGAAGCAAAGAATGTTATTTTTAACAAGTAGCAGGTGACAATAAAAAGAAATTGTACAAGGTCTATAGCGCAAAGAGACACTGCAATGATCCAGGTGAGGAAAGGTTGCAGCAGAATTTTAATGCAGCAACTTCACACTCCAAGCAGCAGTCATGTAGCAACAATTTACTCTGCTATCATTCAGTCTAGCGATACCAGAATTAGAATCCACCATCAGGACGCACGGTGAATACGCGTAATTCTGAGGAGCAGCAGCTTCACTGGTTTAACAGCTTCTATATAAGCAGAATAATTATCTGGCTTTTCTCTCAAACCTCAAACTTACAGAGGGATAAAAGCCAGCTCCTCCATGGCACGGGTAAGCTCAGGTGGAACCACATTTGTTATTTTGAGACTTTTACTAAAAGTCTTTGTTGACCTCTATGGAGCTCCTGTCTGACCCATTCCTGCAGCCTATTGAGGTCCCTCAAACAGCAGCCCTGCTCTCCAGCATAACGTAACTCTAAGGTCTGACGAAAGAAAGCTGGCAAATGAATTTACTTGAAGAAATTTAAGATATTCCTAAATGCCTGTATTTGGGGTAGAAATACTATCTTTGCAATGGGAACTTTCATGTTAAGAGAGGGCATGCTAAGCACCAAACAACCCTTTCCTCTACAGAGATACCCATCTGTCCTCCTGGATATGGACGAGTGGATCACATCTGCCAAAACTGGAGATGGCATCGCCCCCAAATGCTTAACAACGTAGAGTCCAAGTGACTTCTCCCAAGAAGCAGAAGACTTGGGATTCTAAACCCATCGCCTGAGTGTGATTCAGGTCCAGACAACTCCCACGGGAAGTTTAAACTCTTGAGTTTAAACTAAAAAAAACTTCTGATAGTAGAAAAGACACACTCGATCAGAGATGCTGAAAGAATGACTTATACAACATGCAACTGATCTACAAATACATCGTACCTAGCCTTGAATTATGCACACATAAGAGCACGCTAGAACAGGGTCACAGAATCCTTCACACGTATATCTCATTGCTGCATCTTGATCAGCAAGCTCAGCACTGGTTCTCAGCGCAGAATACTAACATGCAGGTTCTCAGTCTTTATGTCCATAACCAGAAAGCATTATTGTCATTTCCCATAGCATCTACCCCAAAACTATTTAAACATTAGCATAAGCTTCCTGAAAACCTCTTGGGAGTTGAAGGCAAACCACTGTGTGACCAGGAGAGGAAAATAAGAGTACAGGAAAGTTCAATAATGTACAGCCTGGCACAGCCGAATACAGGCTCCCGAGTCACTAGCCACACTCGATGGCCCCTGCAGCCTGCAGGCAAACCCCTGTCTACCAGTTAGCCTACCATAATGAGCAACTCCTTTAAAGAGGGTGGAAAAGTATATTACAGAACTCAGAATCAGATCTGAAACTAAAATAAGGGATTTTGAAGAGCAGAAAGAAGTCCTTCCAAAATAGCTGTACTTCAAATCCTAAAAGACCACAAGGAATGAAAGACCCTATATATAGAAAGCTTTAAAGGATCAGCAGGTATTAACTTTTTGTTAATCTCTGTGGAGTAGCACTGCAATGAACGAGCAATATGAAGAAAGCTGATCTATTTAGTCTCCCATTTAAACCTGAAACCCAACCACCACACCCTAGCCAGATTCCCTACCACTTTTAACATCTACGTAAATACGAAGGAAACAAGTACGCACGCACGGATCTTTAGCGAAGCTCTTCCCCGGTCTCTGGCTAGTGGAACCGCTGACCTCTGCAAAGCACGGGACAGGAGGCTGCACAAAACATTTTCATGCTGACTGATACCCTCAGGCCCCACACTGCAGCCCGCAAGCTGTTCAATTCAGACAGCCAAGCTAGACGGTGGAAGGGAGAACAACCACTTGACGCAATGAAGAAAAAATGGTAGTCACTCAGCAAGGCCTAAATGTTTGCAGGGAAAAAAAAACATTTACGTACAGGGCAAAATCTGGATACTTTTCCCAGCATTGATTCACTGATAGTTTTTGTATAAATCCTTCTAATATAGCGATATCCTAGTGTGGTAATTAAAAATAAGTACTTCCCAGGATATAACTGGCTCAGTTTTTCCTAAAATGCTTTTGAGATCCCACGAAGAAAGGAATGCAAAAGGAAAATACTTCAGAATTCATTTATGCTCAGAGTATTTATTATAATATCAATATATTTCTTAACTATTATTTCCTTGCTAATTCTGTGACAATCTTATTTGAAGTCTTCCCAGGATGCTACTCAATTGCTCACACAGTTTGGTCAGTCAGCTGAGGAGCACTTCTAAGTCACAATATTTATAGACCTTTGGACATTCCCAGCCAGACTGCTTAGAGCAAGCAAGGCAATTATAAGGAAGCCTTTCACTCCTGGTGTAGTCGAGAACAAGCAGAGCCATTAAGCAAAAGAACACCCTCAGAATGATGGCAATCCAGGCAAAGCTGCAAGTCTGCAGTCAAAAGCTGAAGGGCATATGATAACACAGGGAAAAGAGCTGAGAGGAGCTCTTTTATTCGTGCTAGGCTGCCAAGAGGGAAAGGAGCCTTTCCCAACCCAGTGGAAAAGGCTCCTTAATGAAATGCTATAGCAACCACTCGGGTGATTGTTTTCTCTCGCATATCCCTCAGAAGGAAGAAGATTACAGAAACACACTCTGAGCAGCGCAGCTAAAACCCAAGTAAAGCATGCAGATGTTAGCAGTAATTACTCAACAAAGCTGTGAATACAGCACAAAGCCGTTACTGCCATTTCTTAATGTATTCCACCAAACAGATGCAGTAAGCATTTTATGTCCATTAACAAAATACACAAGCTAATTTTTAGAATAAGCCCAAATTCCTCAAGAATTCCAAGACCTCACCCAGAAAATATGTGCATGTAAAGCAGTGCGAGTGGCTAAAATAAGAATGAAGGTATCAAGAATCGAAGACTCAATCCCTCTGAAACAGAGGGAGGCAGGAAGGGAAAAGTGGGTCATGGTAAGAAGCCAAAATGTCAGTTTACAGGATTTTTCATTTCCCAAGCCATGTTTTTTTAATTAACTTTGAAAAAAACACTAAAACTTTATTCCAAGCTCCAGCCAAGACAGAACTTGGGGTTTGCTGACAATTTCAGAGAGGTTCACAAAAGACTAAGATTTTTTTCAAGCAATGTGTGAACTAAGTGGAAAAATCACTAATCTAACTGAACAACAATTACATTCCTAGGAAATGTGACCCTGCCGTACTTTCATCGGCTGATGAGAAGACACTAACGATTAGAATGGATATCACTGCAGATCCTTTACATTAAATGTAATCATGAAAGCTGTTCATTTCCAATAGTCTTAAAGAAGCTGTACTCTTATCTCAACCGTATACCATCTTCCAAAACCAAGAGATGGCAAACTCATATTCTTACCACTTCGGGATACAGGCCAGCAAACCAAAGGCAGCAGAATCCTCCACCAAAGTCCTTGTCAGGATCTAGCCTCAACCCACTGGATCTGCTGCAGCTGATTTGAGATTCAAACCTGTCACTTACTGCAACAGCAAAGTGCTTTCCACCCAGATGAAACAGCAAAATGTCAGTGAACACCAGTCCCTATTTCTCTTGCATTTTCAGAGTGAAATACAGTGTTTTAAGGAAAGGATGATTAACAGTGAACGGCACAAGGTGCAAGATATGATCTGAGATAAATGCGTAACTACACCATTCTAAAACAGAAAAAGTTTGGAATAAGTAGAACATAAAAATAAATAAC